GCTTCTTGTTAGCTGTCCAGGTAAAATGTCGATGTGACTGAAGGTTAGCTGTGACACCTCAGAGATCCACAACACAGGAGCTTACATTGTTTCCACAATAACATCAGCCCTGTAAGGGCTCATGGCTGTGTACACTAAATCTCTAAAAATTTGGGACCTAATAATGCCAGGCAGTGGCATCAGGAGTAGACTGAACACAACCTTGAAGGGTTCAGGACCTGACTGCACAGTGCCACAGCTGACCTGTATTGGCAGCTCAGCTCCACGTGTCTAAGCTGGACTTGGAGATCACCACAGGTTTCTTCCAGCCAATACTTTTGGTGACTGTATGATCCTGCTGAAGACTGATCTCTGTTAAACCATCCTGTCCTTCTAGGGAGTGCCAACAGGACATATATGGGAGCACACTTGATACTGTGCTAAAATTATTTGGTTTGGATCTGGGAGCTACTATAATTTATTTGAGAGAAGAGAGGGAACTCCCTTTGTCCAGAGAAATCCTCTTGAGGCTCTCCTGACGCTGGAAGGACCAGAAGAAATATCAAGACTGCTTTTCATGGCACCATAGGCCTGATGTGGGTAAATATAAGGTCATGGTGAGCTCAAGAGTTTCAGGCTTCATATTTGGTCTTTGTACAGGACTTAATTCTGTCTTTGGACTACTTTGTGATCTGATGATGTTGGGTAAGAGTTGACATGGCACACTGCTGATAGTGGTACTGACATATTTTAAAGAGCTAATAGTTGTTGAGTTGAATGTTTTTGAAGATATGTTTCAGTGTCACAGAGCATTATGAAGGGGAGACGCATTCACGGAGACTACTGTGGCATCACTTGGAAGTAGAAAAGCTCCCAGATTTGCCCACAGAGTTCCATAGATGCGAATTTGTCATGTTTTAACCTCAGCTGCAACCAAATGCTACACAATCACTCCCTCATCTCATCCCTGACTGGCAGGGGAGGAGACTCAGAAAAAAAAAAAAAGTGAAAACTTTTCGGTTGAGATAAGGAGTTTGATAATTGAAGCTAAGTAAAATATAATACTAATAATTATAATACTAATAATTATAATAATAACAACAAAAAACCTAATTGTAATTAAAGACGGAGAGACAAAAAAAAACACAAGAAAGTGATGCACAATACCATTACTCACTAGCCACTGACAGATGCCCCGTCTCCAAGCAGTGATTGACCCCTCCCAGTCGACACTCCCCAGTTAATATACTGGGCATGATGGTCTATGATATGGAACATCCTTTTGGCCAGTTCAGCTCACTGTCCTGGCCATATTCCCCCTTGGCTTCTTGTACACCTTCTCACTGATAGAGCACAAGGCACTGTAAAAAATCCTTGACTTAGCGTGAGCATTGCTCAGCGTCAGCTAAAACATCAGGGTGTTATCAACATTATTCTCATGCTAAATCAAAACCACCACTTCTACTGGAAAGAAAATGAGCTCTATTGCAACTGAAACCAGGACAGGGGGACAGATCATAAGTGAGATTCACCTTGGGTCTTTTGCTGAACATGGCAGGAGGGAGTGATTGGTCCCTTGGTAGGGCCAGGGCCCTGAGAAGGCTGCCCGCAGCAGATCGTGTTCCAGGAGGTCTTTCTGCCCACCATTATGAGGGCTACAGGCTGGATGCTTATCAGCTGTTTGTGCAAGCTCATTAGTTTGGGCAAAGCCTGGATGAGTGGCATGGGATTGCTCTCTGTGCCACGCAGGCTGGCCACAGCAGGAGCGCGTGCGAGGGAGGAGGCTGAGCACAGCACACGTCCCCCTGCGCTCCAGCACGGCTGCATAAAAACCAGTTGGGTGCTGTGGCATTGCTTTCACCTTTCATATGTTTCTAGCTTGTTAAAATTATATCTTGATAAGTACATGAAGTCACAGCAGATGGCAAAATCTGAAACGTTCTCTCCAACTCTTTAATTAGGTTTTCAGTTATCCCTTTATGAAAGGCGCTCTGCGAGTGTCTGAAAGTATTGCAAGTATTTAAATAAGCTCCTGGTGCGACTTCTTGGAGCTGAAGTTGACAGTGATATCTTTATGAAAGGCTTTCTTGGGTTTTTGCTGTTGTTTTTAACCTCTTGTGGAATGTTTTGATCTTGTTCAGATACCAGTTTGATATCTTCCCTTGATGTGGTGCTGGACACATCAAAACATTGGCCATGCAAATGATCTGTATTCCTTACCCTGGCAGTAGTGACACATGTAGTTTGGGGATTGGTAAAAATGCAGCTGTGCCCAACAGAGCTGTGGACAGCACATATTTACATATTGTATTTACCATCACTTCCATGTTTACAGAATGCAGCAGCTCACAGGCTCTGCATGTTTAAATAGCAGGCTGAAAATAAACTGTAGTCAGGGCTGGTAGCAGTGCCTGGTAAAACATTTGACACTTTATAATTGCATCCAAAATGACATTTTTTACTTAAACTTCAGAAGAATTTTCTGGGAATGGCAAAAAACGAAAAGTCAGAGAGCAGATACCACCCAAGTATAGGTTTGAAAGCGTCTGCAGTTGGTCAGCTGAAATTCCAGCCTGCTTTGTTTTTACCTCAGGTTTACTTGAGGCACCAAGTAGGGAAACTTTCAGTCTAGGAGGTTAAATTTTATCCAAATTATAAACAGCTGACAGGATATTGGTTAATAAGAGACAATGCTGACCATGCCACCCGTAGTTTCTGTATAAGCATAGAAATACATGGACTGCAGCAGGGTAGAATTAGCTGGTCTTTAATGGAGCTGTTCACATACAACCTGCATATGGGACTGGAGTGGAAATAGATTTAATGATCTGTTGCATTAGCAACAGAAAGGTTTCAGAATAAAGTCATGAATTGATGCTCCTTTCATCTGATATAGCTCCAGTAAATTTTACATTATGTGACGATGTTTATCACATCATTATGACACCAGTGAATTCTTATGTTCCTGCTTTGAAAGCTTTACATAGTCAACACCAAACATGAGCTGTTCACAATGCAAAGATCCTATTTCTAGGTACAACTTAGTATTAATGCTTTGTAAAATCTGGGGAAGATGTGAATCATACTGTCCTAGGTGCTATGCATAATTCAGAAAGGTACCAAAGACTTAAAGGATAAAAAATAATACGCAAAACACAGGAGGTGGCAAATGGATCTAATCCAGAAATTAAGCAGCAGAGTAAGTTTATAATTACTTTCAAAAGTATTTCATCCATGAGATTTTGAGGACAGCATTTTCTGTGCTGATTTAATCTTCTGTTGCACTTTATTTTATCTTTTCCTATGTTTCTCTAAGTGTAATTCCAACAAAACCTCAGATTAGGAAGAAAATGCAAAATGTTTTGTAACAACAAAAAAACTCTGTAGAATAATTATGATTGATAATTATATATTATATAATTATGTATGATTATTCAATAAGATTTTAAAAATATGTTACCCAGCTTTATTTAATTATCCCATATGTCACAACTAAAAATGAGCATTTTCTAAGAAAATTTATGATCAGGTCTCAATTGAGAACCATTCAGATCATCTGTATTTGGGACATATTAATTGCCAAATTTGTGTGGAAGGTGCCTTGCTGTTTGGTCTATCAGGGGGGTTTAAAGAGGAAGTAGATTTCTAGTCTGCAAATGGCAGCTAGTGAGAAAGGCGAGAAAAGCATCGACAGGTAAAACAGCTGTTTTGGGACAAACGAATGGGTATAAATTGACTGTGAATAAATCGAGGTGGGAATTGGAGGGTGTTCATAATTTTTGGTTAAGGTGTTCTCTGAGAGACAAACTGCACGGAAAAATTATTTGTTAAAACAGGAGTAGGAAACGGCTTTTTTCTTTCTTGTGTCCATAGTTTTGCTGTAACAGGAGCAGTGCTGAATGCAAAAGAGCCTCTGCAATATTGTGACAGTTTCTATAAGGAAATTGTTTGTCCACACTGCAGACTAAACTTACTCATTTTAGTCTAAAAGTAAATTTGATACTCCGAGGACAGATTTTGTTTTCCTTTTTCCCATTTTCCCCTTTCATTTGTATACCTGACTATTTTCTCAGTATTTGTTGCACACTATTGCAAATGCCAATTTTTTATTTCAATTCCAAATTGACAGCAAAAGATGATTTTTGAGCTAAGGAACAGGAAAAAACGAGAACATACTAATTTAGTTCTTAATAATTGTAACACTGTAATATGGTATTCATTCATCAAATACAATTTATTGTCAAATTTATTGCCTTCAGTGCAATCTATCAAACAATTACTAAAATTACTAGACTAGTGACTTTGATAAACTTCAATTTTGTAACAAATTCAGTGGGCATAAATATTTTAAAGGTATTTATTTTATTTTAATTATTTTGCTTAAAGGTATTAATTGTTGTAGAGTGATATTAATCTGCAGCTATAATTCTTTCTTTTGTCTCTGTTTGTTGGTAATTGACAGAGACCAAAGTGAAAAATAAGGTAAGCTATTGATAACTCAGTAAAAGTCTCTTTTGCCAAACAAGGATTTGAATAAATGGGTATATTTTCATTCAATATCGAACTTGGCATGAAGGAGTAATAAACAAATTAGAACTTCTGATTTAAGATGGAAGCAAGTTGGTTTAAGGCACTCCTTTTCGAAAGGGCAGAGCTGTTAATCTCTCACGGGTAGGCTGCAGGAAGAAGGATGGAGCGTTCCATAGGATGGATGTCATGCCTGGGCAGTCACTGTCTGCCAGGGCTGCCCCTGGCTGGGCAGGAGGGGCAGGAGGGAAGGAGCAGCCCAGCAGATGCTTTTTTAAAAATTTTTTTCTTTTTTTATTTTTACCCGTTCACTGAATATCATTTTAAATCATCTCTAATAATGCATTTGTCTGCTCGAGTTGGGGAACTGTGCTTGCTGAAACCCGTAAGTGAATGCCTCTCATGCTGATGAGTTGAAAAGTTAAATTAAATCTGTGGTTTCCAGATGTGTGTTCACATCTTTAATGAAGGTTTTCTTTTTGTGTTTGGCGCAGGGCCGTATCTGCAGAAAAGCTGGCAAATCAAAAAAGTCATTCAGTCGAAAGGAAGCTGAAGCAACATTTAAGAGTTTGGTGAAGACCCATGAAAAATATGGGTGGGTCACCCCACCCGTCTCTGATGGCTGATGTTAGCAACCTGCACTTGACAAAAATGCTGAACAAAAGTACTGTGACATCTCCTCAGTGCTGTACACCGCCCATCCTTTTCTACTTCAGCTTCAGTTACATACCATGAATGTCAAGGAGACATCTAAGTTATTTATGAACAGATGTGTTTACAGAGGGAGAGAAAAAAAAATGCTGTGTAGGATTATATTTCAAGACTGGAGAATGGTCATCATTGAAGTCACTTGAGCGGATGCTGAGATTGCGTCATTTGCCCCCATACAGCCCACATTGTCTTCAGCTTCTTTCCATGACAGCAGCACCAAACAGCAGTACTGGAAAGTCTATCCATTACTGCTCAGTTCATTTAAATGTAAATGAAACAGTTAATATTTAATAGGGAAGCAGTGCATTGCAGGTACATGTTTGCTGTGCTGTTTATCTTTGTCTCCTAGCAGGTCAACATAACTTGAAGATTTGTCTTTATGTGGAACTGTGGTCTGCTGTGACTAAATTTAGACCTCATTTGTGCTCTATATATGACCTTTAATTCATAAATGAAACCAGAATTAAAATGCTGAAAGGTCCTAGTGTTGAAAAATTATTAAGTGGAATCACCCAACCGGTTACAATGTGCTCTCTGTGCTGATATTGTGATGTGCTGTTCAGAAATAAACCAGTGCAGTTAGCTGAAGGTTAGGTGGCTTTTTAAAACACATCGACACCAGGGCTCAAAGGGGTTGGTTGGTGGTAGCAGAACAATGATTACCCTGCTGGTACCTTCTGCAGTAGCATGTGGCCTGTCAGTCCTTCAAAACAGCAAAACAAATGAGTGGAAATGGACAAAGCAACCTTTAAATTTTATCTGTTTAATTTTGAAATGATATGCCAGTAAAAAGAGTAAAAATTTTCAAGTCAAATGGAACATGGTTTGTAAGATGATTTGCATGACTGGAATTTTTTTATTTTCACTCAATAGACATTGTATGTACTTAGAGCCCAGTATCTGAGAAAACCCACTGATGTATATAAATGTCCTATTATTTAATCATTAAAATTTAAGTTTTCTGGTAAACAAATTGAAAAAAACAATTTTCTAAGGGACTCCATAAAAGCTGAAGGTAATGTTAAGAATGGTATAGAAAAGCATTTTAAAATGTGGATTCCGAATGGAAAATCGTATTGGACACGTGCTGAATAAAATCACCAGTATCGTTTCTGTTGCCTCAGGAATTCAATCATTTTGGCCAGCTTTTGTATTCAAAGTAATGGGTTTTCTGTTGTGAGATTCTAAGCACCGTACAGATGTGTCTGTGGTGGTGGTATTTTAATTGAAAGTAGGACAGTATTGATTGTAAGACTGATTTGGAGGGGGAAAGCAGTGTGTGTTTGGAAGCACTTTCCATTATATGGCTAACGTGAGAACAAATCGAAATGGTTGACCAGTTTCTGTTTGTATTACAGCAACATTGGAGACTATACAGAGAGCTTGGGGGTCTGGAGATTGATTTAAAACTACACGCAGCATAGAAGAGCAAAAGCAGTACAATGGAGTTCAAACACAAGAGAAGAAGCAGCAGAACGGGTATTCTTGCAGTACTGGTGCAAAAACACCTCGGTGAGGCCGTGGAGCTTTGTCAGCTAGATACAGAGAAAAATAATCAAAGTCTTCACCAAAAGGAATATGCAGGTCAGAGCCACTCGGTTTTGGGGACATACCTGGTTTCTTGCACTTCTGATCCCCATCAGTAGTCACTTCTCTTTCTCCTCTGATCATTTGTGCTGTGCCTTAACTCAGTTACAAAGAGAATGCTTCATACCATAAATCTGCCCAGATCTTGCTGTCATTTATCTCACTCTGCTTTATACTTGGAGACAAGGCTATAAAGCAGTGTATATATGTACTTTTCCCCTCAAACTGCATATCAGTTCTGTGCATCCAGCAGCAGAGTGTGTCTTTTGAGTGAGGAATAACATTTCAAGTAATTCACTTACTCAATTTTTATAAACTCTTTGCTCTCCCTTATGGAAGAGGAAACTGGTATGTTTAGTTAAGCATCAAATAATTTGTAATCCCTAGCAGGCCTCCTTGAGAACATAGAGAGTGATCTAGCACTGGAAAGCATAAGGTTTGTTATTTCCCTTCAGAAAAGCTTTTCCCTCATCTGCACAGTAAAATTATGTTAAAAACAGCATGAAGGTGTGGTAAGTCTTTGGGGGGGGGATTATTTCATTTTCTGCTGTTTTTTAACCTGTCTTTTTTTTTCTGTCAGTGGGTTATTTTAAATCTTCCTGAGAACCATATCTTTAATATTTAATTAAAGGGTTTGCTAAAAGGAACGTAGTGGGTGGATTGCTACCACTTCCCTCAAACCTACTTATTATGTGTCTTCTTAAGTGTGCTTTAAATAGTTAGAGCAAACATCATCGCTAAAAATCACAGTTACTTTCTGGCTGTAGGAGGTTCTCTGCATCACTCAGTGTCTTGGAGCAGTAGGAGAAGCAAATCAAAAAATCTGGAGTGCTTTGAAGCTGTAGCAGAAGGGGAGCAGAGTGCGTGTGATGATAAGCTGCAGCAGCAACTCGTGCGAGGAGGAAAGAAGGCAAAGTACACTGCATGAACTAGGGCAGGATGAAGTTCCTGCTGCACCAAAAATAATACTGCTGCTATTAAAGAGACGATGGCTTATGGCAGGAGCAGCCTGTGCTGAGGGCATGCAGGAAAAAGGGGACAGCAGGGAGTGCAGAAGCTTTGTGCTTCTGAGCAGGAAGGGAGATGGCTAGGAGAGTGGTTAATTAAGAGATCTATAAAGAGAGTTTATATATTTTAGGGAAAATTAGTCCATGGTTTTTGTCTAGCTGTATGCTAAACAGGTTCTACTTTCTCTGCAACAGACAAGCCTAAAAGAAAAGTGACGGAGAAATCGGGAAAGATGTATGAAGGGAAGGAAAAGAGGAAGACCTGAGAAGAGAGAGAAAGTATGGTCTGGAGCAAATGTAACTGGGCAAGTGAAACACAGGACAAAAAATAAAAGACTGATAATGGAAGGGCATAGAACGAGGGAGGCAGCACAACATCAGTTTAGGTAGGACATACTGCAGGAACTTGTTGCAGAGCTGCCCCAGGTACCTAAAATCCAATAATGTCCTTTTTGTTTGTGTCCCAGAAAGTGAGAGCTTCTTCCATGTTCTATCCTTCTCGCAGTGGAGAAGAAGGATGTTAGGACTTGGAGCTGTGTTATGGAACTCAAATCAGGCCGTCACGTCTCTTCTGTGACTGAGAAATAAACCCAAGTGTCATTCCCAGATTCTAAATTCCAGGAGGTCAAAATGAAAACAGATTGGACAGTCATCTGCTTGGTCAAAGTTCCTCAAAATCAGCGAAGTGAGAGGATTTCTTTTGCAGACAGCAAACTTCAATATTCCCTATTTATCCAATCAAAAATCTCCTTAGGATTTCTTGTAAAATTAGCAGTCAGCACAGGTCCTTCAGCTCTCATTAGACCTATTTTATCAGGAACATTATTTTCCATCTGCTGTCCCCAGAACAGATGATTAATTTGAAACTATCATCTGGGGAGGTGTGAAGCTGTATTGGGAAGATACTTCCTGGCTTCTTTAGAATATATCCTTTTGGAGGATCTTCTTTGAGTCTGAAAAAGCTATTTGAATGAATACAGGCATTGAGAAAAGCAAGCCGATGATAAAGAAAGAAAGCTATCCCTGGATACCTAAATGTTGAAAGATTTCCACAAAGAACAGAATTGATGGTTTATATGGGAATGTATTTCTGTGTCATTAGAAATTGATCCTAAAAATTCAGCAATCAAAACCTTAGCAATCAAAGACCTCTTGAACTTATGTTGTTTTCTGTCCCAAACATGACGTGTCTCCTTCATTCCAGCCTAAGCTTCGGTCCTGAGCCCAGAGAAAGATCATAGATATGGTCTGTTTATTTGGTGCTGTGATGCCGTTTTATGTTTAAAAAAGAGACTCATTTCATTATCCTTGTCGACAGCAGTGCATAAGATCCTAAAATGGAGCTTCTTTAGTGAACAGCAGGGTTGTTGTTCAGGAACAAAGGAACAAAGTCTTTCTAGTATGACAAATACACATGATATAACAATATAACAGATATATATATACACTTTAAGAAAACTCATTTAGAAAGACATGGAGAGTCACAACTGCCAAGCAGTAATGGTTGTGATGGCCACTGCTCTGATGTGCACACACTTTCCATTCCACAGGAACCTGCAGTAGAGAAAAATAGCTTCTTGATAGGCTGACTGTACAGAGAAAAATAGTGTAGAGTTAACTGGCTTTGGGATTTAAATCATTAATTTAAATTAAATGGGTTTTCTTCTCCACTTTTTAATTTATTTTTCTTTCAAGATTTTCAGGCACCCACATGGAGCCTCACTGGCAGTATGATCAGCGTGGTAATTTACATGACTCCAGTGAGGTGGTTGATTGTGAACACACTTTTTCTTGCAGAAGTTTTTAGAGGATAACTGACTTCCAGCTGAATGCCTGGGTGTGGAGCTTGGCAGACGCACTGAGGATTTACTTGTCAATGTTACGTAGGCAGATGTGATGCATGTACAGGCATCCCAAAGCTTAGCTGAAATCATGGGGAGGCATTTGCATAGAGTCGGTGTGAAAAGTTTGTCTCTTCCACGCAGGAAGTAACTTCTGGCAAAGGAGTTCCTCTGAAACTGTGCTATGATCTATACAATAGAGTTAAGTAGGCCAGCCTGCTGGCACAATGTAATTTTCCAGTTATGTTTTCCCTCCTTGACAAGCACCAACTCAAATAATCTGCTACAGACAACACGTTTCAAAAGATGACAATTAGTAGCAATGTTGAAGTAAAACTCCTGAATATTATCTCCTCCAGCCTTCCCAGAGCATTCCTGAAGGGAAGATGTAGCTCTGGTCTAAGTGAACAAGAGAGACAGAGAGGGCTGTGCACATGCACTGAGACCATGCACTGCCCTACAGAGTGCCAGCCGTGGGATGAGGGGGGCAGCAAGCCTCTGAGCTTACCTAGACAATGTGCATCCTGTCTTGTCAAATACTGACCTTGCAAGCATTTCACAAAACATCCATATTAGTTGGATTGAATTGCAGGGTTCAGTATGCCTCTGACCCAAGTTCCTGCTTGCAGAGCAGATGGGTTACTAAATACACACTGTGGGTTTTCGTGTGAGCTAGCAACACAGTTCAAGTTTTGCTTTGCTGGCTCTAAAGAATAAAGTGGCTGTCAAACTAGGTCTGAGCACAAATAGGTTGGAAGTGAGTCACCTGCTATTATCAGAACAGTTGCACTCCAGAGGTGGTTTCATCCTTACATCAAAGGGTGGAGGTGAGGTACTGAGGGAGAGTCACCAGTAGGACATTGCAAGATGTTAAAAAGACAGCCTTCCTCTGTCATGTGTGTATCCCACATTACTGACTACTCAATTGCATCCTCTTAACTGTACATTGCTCTGCTTTGTAAATTTTAGCCCCTTCAAAGTTTTACTCATATGCTAAGGAAACATTAAGCAAGTCGTGTAAATTTACATTAAAAGCCTTCGTTTCAATCTGGAAGCACACAAATGCCATGCTGACGCCTGTCAAATTTCACCAGCAGCTTCCTCGCACAAGTCATGGACAAATCAGTGATGACGGTAGTTAACACAAAAATAGAACCTCTGTAATTTGGATGTTTGACTTCAGTCTTTTCGCTGATTGCTTTGTCTTTCAGTTTGACTGACTACAGACTAGAACGTCAGGCTAACAGCAGTGGAACTGTCATAGCATTTGTTTATTTATAACAGTTCCTTTTGTTCATGCTGCTAAATAAGGTGGCAATAAATATTCATTGCAGTTGTGCTTCACCAAACGGGAATTCAGAGATAACTCCTCTCATTCTGAAAACTTTGCATTTTATACTCAGTGTTTGCCATCACACATAGCATTCATTATCTTTTCCTGTCAAATACTCTTGTATTTTCTTATTCGGTGACCTCCTGTGTTTTAAATTATTTGTGGTTCATTAACAGAAATATGTGAAGCGTGTTGCAGGTCCTCTTGGCAAAAATCAGTGAAATGTAACTGAACCAATTCTAGTTGCCTGGGTGATTTAGAAGCGTACTTCACTTGCCATTTGCATTAGCAAGATCTGCAGACTTTTGCTAAATATTCCTCCACAAAACCAGGACTTCAATTTCA